GTGAGGTAGGTTTTTCTTGGTTTTGAATTGGGGCTTAGGAAGAAAGTAGGAGGTTCCATTTGTGAGAGAGGCAAAAGAATGAGAACAGAATGATTAAAGACAAGGAAGGAGAAGGTCTGGTTTATAATGAGGCAGAGCCAGTGAACAGTTTGAGAGTATCAATAACTCTAAGATAGGAATGTGCAGCAGAAGGCTGATGTCAGATTAGGAGATGTCACCCACACCCCAGTTTCTATAATGCCCACAGCTCCAGCTTGAGGGTATCACTGATCTTCTTGAAGGACCAGGGAAGAAAATCAAAATGCATTTTCTTGGTGAACACAATGGTTATATCTGATTGAAATAGAGTTAACAGTTCTGTACTTCAAATAAAAGAATGGATTAATAGTTGATTATGGACTAACCAGGCAAATGATCTGCTATGTTCATCATTATTTCACTTTATGTACAAATGAAACAAATTCTGTCATGTTTTAGGAATAGCCTATAGAGGAAATTAGACACTGGTTCTGTCTTAAGACCCACGATTTTTGTTATTGTATGTAGAAAGGAGGTGGAAAGTATGCAATTAGCAATATACCTACATTCCCTTAGAAGGGAAGGGTGAGCTCTGATTATTTTTCTTTAAACCTATGATCAGGTAATTGAGACTCCAGATCACAGCCTCCATGCATTGCACCCCACCCAACTCCTGGCTTCAATTCCACTTCATGAAAGGCACCAGAATAAAATTCAGAGACACCCTGATGTGAAACCAAAAGGAATAAATCCCAGCGGGTCAAAAGTTGGGGTTTGAAGCATGTTGAAAGAAGTTGGAAAGGACCTTAAAAAAAAACAAAACACTCTTTTAGGGAAAACTGATTTTTATATCAGGAAGAATGAAGGACTGTTACTGAGGACAGGAGCCAGAGTCATATGAGACAGACTTAGTTAAACTATGTCAGGCTTACCTGACATCAGCTCTGTGGAGCCTTCCAGTGAGGCCACAGCTGATGAATGCCGTCTCGGTGGGATGGAGAAGAGAGCCAGGTTTCCCTGGCAGGAAGCTGACCCCACTTCTGATAGCTGTGGCTGCAGCAGAGGACACCTGGGAAGCAAGGCTACCTCCTTGGGGACTTGGGACTGGATTAAGGATGCTTCACTCTGGTTCTTTCTGACTTAAAACCCCAGAGGCCCTGGCTATCACCTTCACAACCAACAACTTGAGGAGTTTATAAAACATCAGATTAAATCCTAACATGTATGTGGATCCACATTCTCAACTCTATCCACAGCATCACTTCCTTTAATGTTACCTACATTATCCTGCAACCCAGGTTGAAAAACCAGGAAGTTGGGTTTGAATCCTCTCTTTTTCTGCATCCACCGACCGTATCCTAGCAGTCACCAAGGCTAGCAGTTACCAAGGCTAGCAGTTAAGACTTTGTGATATTTTCAGGGTTTATCCCTCATCCCGCCCTCTCTCTTGTCATTAGTTTAGATTCTCATTGTACCTCCAGAATATCACAAGATGGGCAGGGAAGGGGGGGCGGGAGGGATTTAGCTCAGTGGTGCTGCCACCGGCCTCGAAAGTGCAGGTCCGGAATTCGATTGCTGGTACAAAAACCAAAAAAACAATATCACAAGATGATATTAATTGGTCTCCCTGCCTCACCTCCCTAAGTTCACTCACTGTTACCAGAGTAACAATTCTCTCTCATTACATTCATTGTGTTACTCTCACAATAAAAAAATTTATCGTGGATCGTGGTTTTTCACGAGATTGAGGCAAGCAATGGTTAAGGGAGGAACTCTCCCACTTTTTCCAATTGTGTGACAGAGAACAATAACTTAATCTCTCTAAGCTTCAGTTTCCTCCCCTGGGAATAATAATGGGTAATAAAAATAGTCCAAGCTTCAGTGGCTTCTTGTGAAAATTAAATGAGATATAATGCATGTAAAATGCTTAGCACAATCCACAGGACACAGAAAGTACTCAATAAACATTAACCCTTGCTATTAATAATGGATGTAGCCTAGGTAGTGAGAAAATGAAGAAAAGAAATAGCCCAGTAACTAGAAAGGCTAAGGAAAATGATGTTAACTTCAAAACTGGAGAAGTCTGTCAGGGTTTGTTTTTGTTTTTGTTTTTTTCATTAAATTTATTGGTATTTTAAGGTATACAATACAGTTACATTTATCATTGGGATGTATCTTGGTTCTTATTTTTTCCCCCTTCCCCTGCCCTCCTTTCAACCCTTCCACCCTTCCCTATTTACAAAGACTTTGTTTCCATTTTTTCCTTTTCTCATATTTAAAAGAATGAGAAACTAGAGACATTTATAGCTAAATATATGCACATTGAGGCCATACTCTTAAGTGAAATCAATAGGACACACGTGTAAATATCAAATAGTTTCTCTGGTATGAGAAACTAAAAGTTTAAATAAGGATCAAAATGTATAATTGATAATGTGAAACAGGAAGAAAAGGTCTAATGGGGAAGGAAAATTCAGAGGGGTAGGAGATATGAGAACAGGTTTTAAAGTCAAGTTGAAAGAATCAGAGATGAGAGAATTGTATCTTGGAGAATGAAATTTAGATGATAAAGTACAGTGGACTGTGGGGGGCCTTGTCCCCCCCCCCGCTAGTACTCTTGAGTGCCTTTTATGGGCATGTCTAAGCCTGCTGCAAGTCTACCCGGCAACAAGGAAGTAGCCCCAGTACCCTCCCCTTGCTCCCTCCCTCTAGCCCTACGGTATATATGTTGTAGCAGCTTCCGCAATAAACAAGACTTGATCAAAAACCTGTCTTGTCTCCATCTCTTGTGTCCCCTGTCCTTTGTCATTCTCACTCCCCCTCTAGGGTCTCCGTTGACTTACCCGTGGGCCGGGACAGTGGACCCTCAAGTTACGACCAGCCCAACATAGGAACAACTAGAGTTCATTAGGTTAATGGAATATTCATCTGCCTCTTGTTGTCTATAGTGCATACCCAGGTAAACATCCAGATCTCAGCTGTAGTGGCTTATAACCAACTTGAGTTACAACCACCCCTTGGGAACCAGTCAAGTTTGTAAATCAAGGGTCCACTGTAGGTGGTAAATCTTGGAAAGGCTGATGAGATTGGGAGGCAGAAGGGGAGAGTTTTTACTGGCTATAAAAATTTGAATCCAACATTCTCAGATTTTTAAATTCTCAAATCTTCAGAGGTTCTGTTTCTACGAGGATAACTATAGAAAGCCCCTGACCACCTGGCAATTTTTATCACTTTTACTAATTAAGCGAACTTGAGCAAGTTACCTTTTAGGGGCAGAGTTCCCAGTGCTGCATTCTTGATAACATTAAGATATTATTTGCCTTTTCACTCTCATTTTTCTAATATGTATTTAATAAGTTTTCCAGGGGTTTTATGATGTGTGGTATCACAACATATTGAAATAATATGAAAACCTAGCATTTTTATTAAGGCAGACATTAAATAATTTCTCTAAACAAGCATAAAATTACACTACTCCACATCAAATATGTTATTGTTTTGGAATATGTGGTTTTCATTAAAAATGCATAGGCTTGGGCCAGAGATTTAGCTCAATGGTTTCTCCACTTGCTGCCCAAGCGTAAGGACCCAAGTTTGATCCCGGTACCAAAAAATAATGCATAGGCTAATGTGTAATGAATTTGTTATTTTACATTAATTAATATTGTTTAAATGCCTACTTTTAGAAATGAATCAGACACACATTTAAATATCACATTGTTTCTCTTGCGTGAGAAACCCAAAGAGTAAATAAGGATCCCAATGGATGATAGAGGGCCGGGGATTTAGCTCAGTGGTGCTGCCACCTGTCGTGCAAGCCCAAGGACCCGAGTTCGATCTCTGGTACCAAAAACAAAACAAAACAAAATGGATGATAGATATTGGGAAGTAAAAAGAAAATGTTCAAATGCTAAGGGGAACAAGGGAGGGTAGAGGGAAGGGAAGGAATAGAGGTAAAAAAAGAATGGAAGAAAAACTATAGAAACAAAGTTTTATAAAGGGAGAGGGGAAGAAGGCTTGAAAGGAAAGGAGGGAAGTGGGGAAAAAAGAATTAAGATATGATATGTACAGGTACAAATTCCCTATGGTGAATGTCATCATTATGTATGTCACAAGTGTACCAATAAAATTAATTTTTAAAAAATAAAGTATAAAATCGTGTCACTTTTAGTTTCTAATACTATTAATGTCTAATACTATTAATTATTGTAAACAAATCTTTGGGTTCCTTAGTCACTTCAGTGTAAGTCATTTCAGTCTCAGTGGGTTCTGAGACCAAAAAGTTTCAGATAGCTGTCATAAATGCTGCTCAAATAAAAATCAACATTAAAGCTAAATCTCACCCAAGAGTGTAATGTTTGGTATGATATAAAAAATACTTTCTCTGGGTGTTTGGAACTCTGACCCAATTTTCTTCTTCTTTTTCTCCTCCTCCTACCTACTCCTTCTCCTCCCCTCCCTCTCCTCTTAGTGTGCTGGGGATTGAACCCAGGGCCTTCAGTATGCCAAGCAAGTGTCTAATACTGAGCTACATTCCAAGCATTATTTCTTCATTTATAAGCACAAATGCATTAATTTTTTTTTTTTTTTTGGTAACGGAGATTGAACTCGCATCCTTGCGCTTGCAGGGCAGGCAGCAGAACCACTGAGCTAAATCCCCGGCCCATTGCATTAATATTTTTCTGACCAAGGTAGACTCAGGTCCCTGAAGTTGCCATTTGACATTAAACTAGTGGCCTCACTCCAGTACATAGCAGGGAAGTCTATAGACAGCATCATACCCCCACACCTAGGTCTGAAAAACATTTTTGATTGAATGTTAATAGCTAATGCAGTCCAAAATCTCATGTACACCAACCTGCCTCAGGCTGGTGGTTCATCTCAACAATATAATGACTTCTTGTATATATTTGTTTAAAGACAAAACCATTTTGCTTTTTGTGACTAATTCATCTAACTTCTAAATCCATATTTTTTTGTAGCAAGGTCACAGAAGAACTTCTGAAGACTGGCATAGCAAGAATTAAAGACCAGAAGGTGAACATGAACCAGTTAATAAAGGCAAAGGAACATGAAATGAATGCTTACTATGGCGTGGCTCAGAGGCAGAAGCAAGAAGAGGTACAACAGGTGCTTCAAGAAGCAGAGAAAACACACCAGGCTACTCTGGGCAATGTGGTGGATAAACTGGTTAATACCCAGAGGGAGTTGCTGTCCATAGCAAAACAACTGGGAATCATGGCAAACTGGAAAGATTTTCTGGAGGAGGAATTACAGGAAACCAGGGCAGCATTTCAAAAATACATCAATTATACTTTTCCTAAGCTTTCACCAAGACATGCTGATTTTATTCTGCCAGAAAGAAAGAAAATGCCTTCCCATCTAGTTACAAAGCATGAAACAATTCCAGAATAGAAGTTTTCACCTGAAATGTCTCTACCAAAGAGACAACATTCAAAGTCTGAATAAATTTACTCAAAACCATTTATTGATCTACAGTATTGTGCAGATTACTACACACAGTGTAAACATTTTGATGGAAAACCAAAATACTCAAAAGCACATTCCAGGACACAGCAAATGCCAAATCTAAATAAGGAGAGAAAACTTAGAAGAATCAAACTGGTTAGGAAGGGAAAATGATTCTTGGAGGGCTGGGAATTTAGCTCAGTGGTTCTGTTGCCTGCCTTGCAAGTGCAAGGACCAGAGTTCGATCCTTGGTACCAAAGAAAAAAAAAAAAGTAACGATTCTTGGAGAAAGTCTAAACACCTATCTTTATTTATTTCTACATTAGATATTATTATAGTGTCTGCTGCAGTTGAAAATAATAAAAGTCCATATTCTTAGATTGTTCCCACTGTAAAAAGGTGTACAACTTTCAGCAGAGAGATTATTATTGGTGAACTGCAGTAGCATTGTTTTTTTAAAGGAGTTTCCCTCATATTCAATAAGACAAAATTTAAATTCTAAGAGCCCTATATAAATTAATTCAGAAAGGACTCACTTTTTTTGCCAGTTGTAAAAGAAATTTTATCTCTAGAAATCAGATGCTCTGCTTCCAGGGATCAGGAGTCCTTTTGTGTTTATACTCAAACCTAGGGGTGTGTGGCATCATTTCCTGTGGGTCAAAATGCAGAAAACCTTTAAGAACCAAAGTGCTTTGGACCAAAACAGGTCAGCATTTACTAAATTAAAATGAAAGAACACTCGAGTCATTAAGTGTTCTCCAAAAATTTATCCAGTATAAAGTAACATCCTTATTCACAAACCTATATTGGTTATTTAAGGATTAAAAATGTGGAAAGCAACTTTAAGTAAATAAAAAAGTACTATTCTTAAGTACGCTTTATGTGGATTTGTCTACATTGACCAATCTTGGATTTCCTAATGATAAAAAAGCAATTTATTTACAACTGCATAATGAACTCCTCTTTGGTATTTATCTTCATACACTGCACTTCATACTTACTAGTAAAGGGCTGGATTTCAGGATAGTGTTTTCCATTGCTTTTTCATGTAAATTGTTCTCACAACAATCTTTAAGATAGAACAGAGATTGATGTCTTATTTTTTATAAATGACTAAAAACCACCATGCATTAAAATATGTATAATGTTAGTCACTTTAAACACAATATTTAATCTTCACAATGACTTTTGAAAGTAATCATTGCTGGGCCAGGGATTTAGCTCAGTGGTTCCACCGCCTGCCTTGCAAGTGCAAGGACCCGAGTTCAATCCTCCATACAAAAAAAAAAAAAAGAAAAGAAAGTAATCATTGCTCCCAATTGAAAAAAAAAAAGGAAGAAAAAAGGCTCACAGAGATTAACTGTCCTCACTACACATGGCTCATAAGAACCAGAAATCAAGGTATTCCCAAGTTTGGGTAGACAGATGAACCTTGAGGTAAGTTTCAAGGTTTTTCAGTATTGAATAGACAGAAACAGTTCTAACAGCATGCTAAGCATATTAGGCACATGAACTCCATTTCTATAATAACCTTTTAGGGTAGGAACTAGTAGCAGGCATTTTAAAGTGGCAGAATCTGGGTACAGACATTACATCACATCACTTTCTTGAAATCATACAGCTATTTAGGTGCAAAGCCCATTTCAGAGTCTGAGGATGTAGCTCTTGGGCCTGTGATTTTATTAGCCATCATTCTGTTCAGCCTGGACACATGTTTTGATCTGCACATGTGCGTGTGTGCATTGTGAGGACAGCCAAGAATGTGATCTGTCCTCTGCATTATGCATCATGTTTATCTTATCTAGAGGTAAGAGGATATTATATCTATTTACTGTTGTATCTAATTTGTTGGAGTTACTCCATAGTGTTGAGGAGCCAAGGGGAAAGGTCCACTAAAGGAGTTTGCTTCCTGGCTATAGTTAAATACTGTATCTTCTTTGGCATCCGTGACATAGTGAGTGATAGAAAGCCCAGTCACTACCCTAATTGTAATAGGTGATTGGTTGTGTCAACTTGAGTAATTAATGCCCAACTAAATATGCTCAGCATAGTTCTGGGTGTGGAAGACCCACCCTAGGGAGGATTATCACCACAATGAAGAAGGAAAGATTGCTTCTGTTTTCTTCAGAGAAGCTCCAGTCTTCTTTGCTAGCACCTTGGACATTGTCTCCTGGCTTCCAATACAGCTTCCAGTACTGCCCCTTCAGACTACCAGTGCGGACACTTTGGCCTCCTGATTTGGAGTTGCACTGGACACTACACTGAGCTCCAGGCCTTGACTGGATCCTTTGGATCCCCAGTGTGCAGATGCGGGGGGGGCTTACTGATTATGCCCAAAGCAATCTGTAAAGAGTTAACCCCAAAATTGGCTTGTTTTGAGAATCGAGTCTGGCTGAAGCTTAAGTGTGGAGGTCAGAGTGACTCACACCCAAATTCCATTCCCATGATTAAAACCTTCTTAACTAGAAGGATAAGGCTCTAATTACAATCCTGTATTTTGTCCATTCTGTTCCTAATTTGAAAATGCTTTGTCTACAAGCCTTGTCTACATTAGTATTCATAGCAACTGCAAGATGGCATGTCCTTGCATGTAGTTTACCTTTACCCCAATTTGATTATGAATAAAAATCAGTGGCTTGAACTGACCAACACCTTTGCTGGTTGAGCAGTAGTGGCCATCCTAGATCTCTGTTTCTCTCTCTTTAGTTCTTTTAGTGTTTCTTTCAGCACCAAGCAGGAGATCAGAATCCACTGCAGAGGTCTCTGACATGCAGACAGACCTTTTGTACTCTTCCACATTTAACTCTGTGGGTGGCCATTGTAAGCCAATTTTGTAAGTTCTCACTTACTTGTATATCTTGTATTATATCTGTTTCTCTAGTAAGCACTGACTGATGCACTAATCAACTCCTTTGGTTTCTTTCTGATTATATTTGTTCCTTTAACCTTTTCTTCTGAGTCATTCTCTCTCCAGTCCCCTTTGATTCCAAGAATGACAGATCTAATCAAAACACACCTGTAATGACAGGAATTGAAACTACCTCAAGCAAAGGCAAGCCTTGCAGAAGAGATCACCCCCAAGAGAGCAATTACTCCATGATGGGAACCTGCAGCTGCCTCCCTAAGCAGAAGCTGTTCTTCTCACAGTGGGAACCAAATTGTGCCCTCATTCAATGAGGGTTCTCCCAGAACCAGTTCTGGGATATCCATCAACCAGACCACTGTTCAACTGGGATTGCTTACTGTTGCATAGTGGTACTTCCAGCTGTGCAAACCCCCAGTCTTTGCCTTTGCCTTTCTTTTCTGTTAAACCTCAAGGCTCTGTCAGCCCCTAGAAGACAGACCTTGAATCCCTTTCTGTTCTTCATAGTATGGCCACACTGATTAAAGCTCTCTTTCTGCCCTTCACCATTACTCTGCTCCTTGAGTGGTGTTTTAGGATGAGTAGCTGAGCCTGGCCTTTTGGAACTTCCCAGAACTGAGGGTTTTGCCCTAAAACCCTGGTAACATGAGTAACATGAAAATTAGTAGCAGGAAAATTATTACTGGTTTGGCAAAAGGAAACTAGCTTCTTGGTTTTCAACCAGATTGGAAGAAATTAATATGGTATTTTGCTTCTATTATTTTCCTTGTTCATACTCTAACCCCTGTTACCACTCAAATCCCAATCAACAATTTCCTTCACTTACTTCCTTAAAGCCTCATATACCTGCACCATTTTTTTTAGTGACCTGGATTGTACACTTAATTTCTTTTTTTTTTTTTTGGTACCAAGGATCAAACACAGGTCCTTGCGCTTGCAAGGCAGGCATCAGAACCACTGAGCTAAATCCCCAGCCACTGTATTGATTCTTGAGCCCTGGCTCCTGCCAGCCAGAGGACTCCCCTGTCACTCCTATATAGCCACAGTGCTGAATGCTTTGTGTTATAGTGAGGCAGGAAAGGCAGGGAATGGCTAAGACTGGCTGGGAAAGTAGGTGTGACCTGTCGATTGCAAAATCCTAGGACACGGGCAGAACGGTTTCCAAAGGACTGCACATGGACTTCTCACAAGAACTCCAGCAGGTTTGATAGGATTACCTGGACAGCAAGGGAAATATAAAAAGAGACAGTCGCTATTAAGTGCACTCTATCATGTCTCTTCACTATGGCCCACCCTATGCTGTAGAGTATATTTAATTTTTTTTTCCTTTTTTCCTACTTTTACTTGACCCAAACTCATTCCACAGAGCCTGTTTCTTTCTGCCTTTTCATAAATGTGAAACCTTGCCACCATTTTTTTTTATGCTCGTTTTGACCAATTCATTTTTGGGGACAGAAAGAAATTAGAAATCACTTCTAGAAGGAGACTCCAGCACCCAAAACCCTGTAACAATAGGGTGATCACAAGGGATTTTATCAAGACAGACCAACCTCATCCCACTCTCCATGGCCAGTTACCTTATTATCTGGAGTTGGTACCTAACACACAGAGGGGAAGATCTTATTTCAGTTCTCTTGTTCTCAGCTCTACCTTTCTCAAGGCCAAACTGAAAGATCATCTTTGTTCTCACCCAAATCCTTCACCTTGATTTAATCACCTCAGTCCACAGTTCTCTTTTTAGCTTGAATACCTTCCAGATAATTACCCTTGAGAATAAAAGTTCAAAGTGGATGTGTAACTTTTCATTAAAAGAAAAAAAAACAGAACAAAACAGGGTCTCTCTGTCTCTTATTCCTTTGGTTCTGATAAGGATGATCTTGATGTATAAAATAAGAAATAATGGAAACTATAGCAATTGCCATGTATCAAGCATCCATGGTATCTGATATTATAGTAGGCTCCATAATAACCCTTGTCTTACTGAAATCTCACAGTCATGCTACTCTTGCTCCCAGTTTGGAACAGAAGAAACTGAAACTCAGAAAAGTAAAATCACTTGCTAAAGATCACATGTGTTATCCACAACAGCACATCAGCCTGCTTTAGAGTCTAAATATTGAGCAGGTATTGATGCACAGCTTTCAAAATATATTGGCACTGTAGCAAGGAAATTCTGAATTATTGTGCAGAACCCTAACCCTTCCAGTGGACATGGATGGGTGCTGAGAATGAAGGAACCAGAACTGGATGCCTGCCCCTGCCCAAGTATGTGAAATCTCCTAAGTGAGCTGGAGGGGTGAATGTAGGGAAGGGTAAACCCTGCAGCTCCATTCTAACATCAAGGACAGATTCCCCTGAGGGGATCCAGGAGAGACAGCAATTGCCCTGTAGCTCAAAGGTGAGAACCTCAAAATGATGTGAAAATTTAAAGTGAGTATATTTTTGAAATCTTGGTGAGATCCTTACACTGAGTTCTAGTGAAACCTGACTGGAACTGATGTTAAATTAGGCTATTTTCAAAAAGAAGGATTTCTCAAGTGAACCAGTTTTCAGCATAACTTGACTTAAGAAAATACAAATAATTCTCCTGGTACTATTTACTTTGATTACAATGTGAAAAGTTATTGTAGACCTTAGATACTAAGCTCCATGTAAGTTATTACAATTGCAAGCTAGTATGGTTTATATTTGGATGTCTCCCCAAAAGCTCATGTGCTTATAGGTGAGGCTTTGGGAGGTGATTGGAACATGGGGTCACAATACTCAGTGGATTAGTTCTAAATGTGATGTGGGAAGGTGAAACCTGTTGGAGAAAGTGGGTCACTGGGGGCATGGCCTGAGTGTATCTCCCTCCCTCCTCCCTTGATCTCTCTCTGT